GGGGAACATGGGGTTGTGTTGCGCGGGGAGAGCTAGGGAGCCCTGTGCAAGGTAAAGCATGGACAGGGAGTCAGAGGAGCTCACCCCCAAGGGCGTGGGAGTGTTCCATGGGGAGTGCAGGGCATCCCAAGGGATACTGTGCTGGTAGAGCTTGTAACTGCTGGCGGAGGGATCATCCCAGTATCAAGGGTAGCTCATCCCAAGGGTAGAGCTTGTAACTGCTGGCGGAGGAAGGTTGCTTTGTGTTAAATTGGGTGAGTTCCCTGAAACGGTTGTTGTGATGACCCAGCTGCAAATGGTACGTGGGGAAGTGGTGTGTTGGTATTTGCGACCAGGCATTTTGTGTTGTGAAACTGATACCCAGAAAAAGTTCAAGAGCAGCAGGAGCTAGCTGAGGCTGTCTGTAACAAAAAAAAAAGGAACACCCATGGATCTGAGAAAACCTGATGTTTGCAAGTTAACGCAAACGAAGTGTCCTGAAATGTGCGACTGACCCTCCCTGTCCAATTCCTTGTTGGATGCCTCCGCTGCTTCGAGTCAGAAAATTGGGAGAAACCTGCAGAATTGGAAAAATGGTTGACAAAAGACCCTTGTGTCCAGCGGAGACCTCTGTGCCCCGACATAACCAGTAGTAACACCTCAAACTGTTAACTTGAAACTGGCATTAGAAAACACCCCTAGGACTGTGGATGTAGGGCAGGGTTTCCGTTAATAATTGCTGCCAGGGAAGGGTTTAGGACTGACTGTTTGGGTCTGCATACCTGTCTCTTCTCTAGACGTGGCAAGCTGCAGAGGGAGTCAGACTTCATGGCCAGTGTAGACAGCAGCTGGATCTCTTGGGGTGTGGGAGTCTTCATCCTGAAGCCCCTGAAGTGGACCCTCTCCAGTGTGCTGGGTGACAGTAAAATACCCGAGGAAGAGGAAGTTCTGATTTATGTGGAGCTGCTTCAGGTGAGTGTTGGTGAGAGCTTTCTCAGGGTTACGCATCTCCAGAAAGTCTATGAGTCGTTTTATGCGCTAGAAAGGAGAGATCGAGGTTGAGCAGATTTTCATTTGTGCCCCTTCGGCGCTGAAAAGCCTGCAGAGAGATGGCAGATCGAGTGCCATCCGTTGTAGGGGGAAACGGGTGACGTAGAAGTTGCTGTCAGCCCAGCGTATCACCGACCCGAGCTCAGGTGTGTGGTGTTAAAGGCTGCTTTCACTTCAGAACCTGTGCTTTCTGCTTCCCTCTTCGGCCGTGCTTGGAGCTGCCTATGGATCCTGTCAGGGGATGCACGTTGTTGCTCAGTCCGACGTGGCTGGTGGGGTGCTGATGGTTGGTCCCTCGCTGTCACTTGGTGACCGTTAAAGAAGCGCGGGGATGGCCAGTTTGCCACCTGGGGGGTTTTCCTGTAGCTCTTGCGCAGGGAAGGTGAACAGTGTAATCCTGATTCCCATGGAAAGCCAGTTGATCTTTCATTCCATTAACGGCGACGTTCTTAAAGCGGTGTAATTGCTTTTGAATGTTACGTACAACTTGTTCCAGAAGTCTCATCTGGCCCAAAACGTGATGAGCGTAACCTTTCACCTTCGGCGCGTGGGAGGAAGCAGGTGCAGAGGTGGCAGCTGCTGTGCGAGAAGGGAGACTGCCGTGTAAACTAACGGAGCGATCTCTTGCTGCCTTTCAGGAGAAGGCGGAGGAAGTTTATCGCCTGTATCAGAGCTCTGCGCTTTCTTCACACCCTGTTGTTGCCCTCTCGGAGCTGCGGTCTCTCTGCGCCGGTGTTTGTCCGGATGAAAGGACGTTCTACTTGTTGCTGCTCCAGCTGCAAAAGGAAAAGAGGGTCACGATCCTGGAACAGAATGGAGAGAAGGTACAGGGTAAAGGTGACTGCTTTTGGGTGGTATAATCCCTGTCTTGCGCTATGTCTGGATGGAAAGAGTACTTTATTGGCTAAATACGGGTGTTCTTTGAGTGGAGCAGTCAGTTGTGTGTACTCCAACGTCGTAACCTGGTTATAGATGAGATTAATGACCTGTTGGGCGAGACTGAGGATTTATTTTCCTCCGTCAAACACTTCTAATACTACCTAGGTCATCTAACCGCTAGAAAATCAGCAGATGCCATGGTTGTCTCCTTACAGGTTGACCGTTCCCAACTGAAAACTGTTCCACACCACTGGAATCAGTGTCTTGCTTTCTGTCAAAAATGTTTTCCTCTCTGTCAGTAACTACAGAGGTGCAGGCGCTCTCGTCTCTCTGGTGGCGTGTTTACCTGCAGTGTTCTGCACTGGACATTCAGTGCTGAAGTCCTGGGTGTGACAGGGCCACACGCAGCACCAGGACAATTTGAGGGTGTCTGTTCAAGCTTTCTGTTTCCACACCCATGTCGCTCGATCCTGTCTGGTTTAATACTAGATTACATGGTGAGGGGCATGTCCTCATTGCTCTATTACAAGGCTCAAACTGGGGTGTAAAAGCATCTTTTCCTGCCATCAGAGTGAAGGTATTTCTAGTGCAGGCCCAGATTTTGGACACAAGTGACTCGAGCGTGTGGTTCTCTTTTTCTTTAGATAGTGAAGTTTGCTCGAGGTCTTCATGCCAAAGTCTCCCCCATGAATGATGTGGACATTGGAGTGTATCAGTTGATGCAAAGCGAACAGCTGCTGTCACAGAAGGTGGAGTCCCTTTCCCAGGAAGCAGAAAGGTAATTTGAGGAAGGTTGGTGGGAAGAATTCTGTGTTCCTGTTAGAATAAACTTAGAACGAAGCCGCTTTCTGAAAGTGCAACTCATTCTTTCCTGTTCAGTAAACACAGCAGCCACAGTCATGTGGTGGGGCAGGTTTTCCAGTCTTTGTTCCCTGTCCCTGTGAAAACAACACGAAGCGAGTGGATGTCAGAAGGTTTGGAATGTGTTCAAGGGCCAGCGCCGTGAAGCGATGGTGGCTGTGTCAGAAAGGCATTGTCACTCGCCTCTGGATTAGAGCAGGGTGGTGAGGACGGCTGCTTTGCAAGCAGTAGTTATCTCACAGCGAGGAGTAAGCTGCCTTTCCTTGTTGCAGGTGTAAAGAGGATGCCCGGAGTGCTTGTAGAGCTGGGAAGAAGCAGTTGGTGAGTACAGTCCTCCTTGGGAAGAGCTGCAGGTGAAGTGTCGTGGAGCTTAGTCCATAACCACTGATAATGACCAGGGTTAGGCACTGTACGCTTGAACTTAGCTGTGTTGAAGTGGTGTTTCTAGGCCAGAGGTCTCCCGGAGGTGAAGCTGGTAATGTAGTTGTGGAGAAATGGAAATCTCTCACTCCTAAAACCAGCTGGTGCGTGCGTGCCTTGCTGCGCAGGGACCACTGGTCTTGCTGCGCTTCTGCCTGCTGCCTGGTTCGTGATCCAAGTCTGTGTCTGATGTCTCCAGGCGCTGAGATGTTTGAAATCGAAACGAAGGACGGAGAGGCGCATCGAAGAGCTTCATTCCAAGCTGGATGCAGTGCAGGGGATCTTGGATCGTATATACGCCTCCCAGACTGACCAGATGGTAGTGTGTTTATTGTCTTGGGCTGCTCCCTTTATCCCCGCTGTGTCGCTTCACCTGCTTGTCGGAGCTCGTTCTGGGGGTGAAGGTGGCTGGTGATGCTCTGTTCTCTGCTCCGAACAAGCCTGCTCGTGCCTTTATTTTCTTCCCGTGTGCTGCTGTTTCTCGGAGGGTCCTGTTTGGTCTTGAGAGAAGCTCATGCTGCCTGTTGTTTGTTCTTAACGCTGTGCATATTTCTCTCTTATTTTTAAGGTATTTAATGCCTATCAGGCTGGCGTGGGAGCTCTGAAACTCTCAATGAAGGATGTTACTGTGGAGAAGGCAGAGAACCTGGTGGATCAGATACAAGAGGTACTGAAACAGGAGCGCGTCTCGGTACCAAGTAGCCCATGGATGTAGGCGGCGAGCCTGCCCGGCTGGTAACGCTGAGGCTTCTGGGGCTGTTTGGTTTCTGTTCTCTACGTCACCAGGGCCAACTGACTTAATCCCGATCTTTTTCCATCGGCAAGCAGAAGTCTTCAAATAACCAGCTGTGTTTGGGTTTAGGCATTTGCATTTATTGCAGGGTAGTAATCGCAGTTTACATGACACTTGTGTGTTCCCTGTGTTCTTTTGGTTAGAGATACTGTGCAGGCACGCAGCTCTCCTAGGAAACGTGTGGTGAAATGTATCCAAAAGAAACACAGGTCTTTGGAAACGGGAATGCAACTGTGCGTGTAAGCCAAGGGTCTTAGCACTGCCTGACCCATGATCTCCAGCTCAGTGAGGGGAGGGAGCTGAGTCTATTCCGAATGAATTGAAGAGTAATCTGTCTGCATAAGCTGGTGTGGAAACCAGGGGAGGATTACTCTCTTAGCAACTTCAGCTCCGTGTACTTAAATGGTGGCTCCAACCACTGAGCTAAGGGGCTGCCTGGGAAACTTCATAGCTGAGATGCGTTCTTCTTCAGCTGCTTTTTGTCAGCTGAAACTGCAATGTAAGCTTCTTCCTTACATGAAAAAGCTAAAATTAGGGAGAACTTTTGTCTATGAAACTCTGTTTCAAATTTAATCCTCAAACATGCTGCTTGGGTCTGGTAGCACTTAAATAATACTGCATTTTGCTGCTGAAAACCCAGACGTGTTGGAAGTCTCTTGCACTTGCTACCTTTAAGTCAACCCTTGATTCTTTTGTTATTGCTGCTTTAGACACGGGAGGCTACAGTGGGACATAAGTTCACCCTGTGTTGTGTATCAAACCCTCTATTTTTCCTCAGCTTTGCGATACTCAAGACGAAGTAGCTCAGACTCTGGCTGGAGTGGGGATCAATGGTCTAGGTAGGTTTGTGGGTTTTCATCCTCTGCTGGCCCTAGGTGCTGCCATCCCTGCCCTGCGACCTTCCCCACATCTGCCTGGTCCTTCCTGGCAGGATAAACACCGAAATGCCAAGGATGTGGCTACTGCTGCCTTCAGAGAGAGTGTGAGGACTGATAAGTTTTCTCTGACAGTGGGATGCAGGGGAATTGGCATTGGAGCATCTCCAGATCCTTGCAGTCCCTAAGTGCTGGTGGATTTCAGTTCAGAGTCGCGTAGTCTTGATTTAAATCTATTTTTAGAGTGACTGCTGCTTTGGTTTTTTTAAGCGATGATCTTTTCCCTCTGGCCTGTGCATTGCTGCAGCTTGTGTGTCTCTGCTGAAATGTTTTCTTGCCCTTAGATGCCCCAGCACAAAGGCTTCCAAAGGAATAGCTTCTCCCTGAGATCAGGACTGGTTTTTTTTTTCACCTTTAGAAGCAGCGCAGGGTGTTATTTATTATGAGTAACAGTGGAGGGGAGTAATAACACCTCTGTTAAACCTGGGCTGTGAAGGTGGTGCTGAATTCTGCTTGGAACTGAGCGTTTTCTTTAACCAGCAGAGATGGACACCGAGGAGCTTGAGAAGGAGCTGGACAGTCTCCTCCAGGACTCGACAAAGGAGCCTGTGGATCTGCCTCCTGTTTCTCAGATGGCGCTGAATCCACCTATGTCTGATGCTGAGCTTGAAGCTGAATTGGAAAAGCTCTCCGTTGTCGATGGAGGTATGGATGTCGGCAAGTCGTGTCAGCTGTTGTTAGGATCTGTGACAGCCGTCAGTCAGAACTGAAGTCGGAGCCAGGGCCTTTCCCCTTCCCATCACACGGTTCGAACCAAGCTCTCCTGTACCCTGGGCAGGTGCTCAGTGGTGGGTTTTTTTGCTGCCAGGCTCATGCTTGAGAGAACTACCCTCTTTGCTAGAAATTCTGCCTGGGCTTTTAGCCGTGGGGTGCAGGGCAGGTTGGAGGCCCCGTGCTTGGACTGTTTTTTGTCGCCGTTTAACAAAGCCAGGCAGTGTGTTTTGTGTGTTCTGTTAACAGTGATAGAGTAGACGAGCATTTTCACGCCTGCTGCTGCTAAGCACGCAGCATCTTCTTTGTCCTAGGATGCTTACTGTGTCTGATGTGTTACAGCTACGATGTCTGCTTAAACCAGGACCAAACTGGTCTTTATTTAGTAGCAGCGAGTGACCAGAGCTTATGGGCTTGAACTGCATGCTGAGTTTTCCCTGGACCTGTCTTGGGCAGGGATACGTAGACTTCGGTTTTCCTTCCAGGAATCTGTTAATGAACAGCTACACAGGGCTTTCCATACAGTTTTCTTCCTTTTTGGGCAGCTGATTCTCCAGTTTCAGAGTGGAAGAACGCTCAGCATTCCTTATCAAACGTGAAGTGTGGGGTTCCAAGAGAAAGCAATTGAAGCACTGAGGCGCTCCAAAACCGTTTGTTACGGACGTGGTTGATTTAGTCCCTCTTCCTGATGAAAACTGATGCCTTTCTGTTGCAATTTTCTTTATAGATTTGGCACAAAAGACCCCCTCTGCTTCCTCTGAACCCAAAACAGCTCTGGGACTGAATCTCTAAAGACCCCGACAGCGTCCTGTTGCTGCAGTTTGAGAAATTGTCTTAAAGTTCTTTAACTAATGACTAGAACTTGTGGGGAGAGGGGTAGCGCTCCTCTGTTCTTCACGGATATCACTTTGCTCAGCGACAGGATCTCCTGCCGTGACAATCCACCTTGGAACTGGCCCCAGCCGGTGTTTGTCATCTCTGTGCCAACGTCTGCACTGGTCTGGATGTGACTTGTCCTCCCGAGTCACTCTGTGGCATCCCGTCTTCCCTCCTGGGAACGCAGGTCACTCTTCTGCCCGGTGAAGACCAACTCTGTGTCCATAACAGCGCTCGTTCGGTTGTTTTCTTTCCCTTTGCTGTGGCTGATGTCGAGAGTTGGAGTTGCAGCGGTATTGCAGTTGCTCAACACTTGGCTGTGTGTGTGGTTGTTGAAAACACTCGGCGCGTAAGTGCTGTCCCTGACGTGAGTTACCTGCAACAAGCTTAAGCACCCGTTGGTAGTTTATCCTCCCCCTGTCTGTATCCTGCACGGTCGTGGACGACTAGACGCTGTAACTGTTCGGTTGTAGATGCCGCTCCCGAGGGCAGCGGTGGCAAGCACAAGACACACGTAATTCCTCTTTCTGTAACGACACTAAGGCCTTAAAAGGGAGACCTGCAAAAGATTTGTGAGGGAAGGAGTTTCTTACGCTGCCTGTCGTGTGTGACAAAGGCTTTCGGCCCCTGTCATGCGCTTTTCTGCTTGCTCTGACGTGAAATGGGGGCTGTTCGCTACTTTTCTCTCTTCGCAGAACTTGTCGGGGAGCTGCGGCGTGATCTGCTCTGAGCGATTGGGGGTGGGAGGGGAAGGGATCCATCGTTTCCCAAGAGGACAGTTTCCTGTAACAGCCTTGACTTCGCCTTCAGCCCTCATGTTGCGGTCCAGCACGATGCTGGGTTACCAGAAAGCCCCAACCCTAACCCTAACGTGGTTCTTGACGCGAAAACAGGCCGAGCGCCGCGACTGAGGGTGCGTTTCGGCGCCTGGCTGTGCCCTCCAGAAGGGAAATCCTCATCTCTTGCAGGTCACTTTTTTATTGATGCGCACGGACGAGCGGGAAGCCCGATACCCGATGTGAATAAAGGAATTCTTCCCGGAGGGGGATGTGCTATTAGCTGGGCTTTCCGCACCCGGAGCCCGTGGCGGGGGGCGAGTCCTTGCGTGACGTGTAACCGCTCCGCACCTCTCCCTGACTTGGGATGTATTCCTGTCGCTCGAGCCATGCGGAGGGCGGCTGGGTAAACTGGGGCTGGAATTCCCGCGGCCTGTTAATATTCCCTGAGCCAGCTTTAGCCCCTGAGGAGTGGGGAAGTGACGGGTGTCCCGTGCCTTGGCTCTGGCTCCTCCATCGCCTCATTCAAGCGTGCGGGCTCCTGCCAGAGGAGTGGCCAGCTCGCAGGTTACCCAGGCTGCACACAGGATTATGTGAAAAGACTTGAAGCTCTGTATTCCTTTCCTTTGTAAGCGAACAGGAGAAAAACCATGGTGTTTTCTGCCTCGGTGTAATAAAGGGGAGGAACCAGAGTCCCTTGCGGTGCCTTTTCTTTGCTCTGTGCCATGGATCGCTGCCACGTTGGTGCTGTTCTGGATGCTCTGCCGAACGCAAACGGGCAGCTGCCCAGGCTGCTGGCTCTCAAACTGAGTGACCGCTGTACCAGCCTCGTTTCCCTGAGCCTTTGCTCTGTGTTTCAAAAAAGCCCAACGGTTTAACTTCAGAAAACTGTCTGGTTTTACCCGGTAGCCTGTGGGTTTTGGTTGTGGTGCCTTGGTTTTAGGAGTATTGCTTTGGAAAGGTTTGCTGCTGCTTTGCTTCTGCCTGTCTTCCCCTTCTTCCTCTTTTTCATCGCTGTGCATCACGAACTAGTGCGAGGCCAGAGGAGGCCACGGAGATGCTCCGAGGGCTGGAGCCCCTCTGCCATGGGGACAGGCTGGGAGAGTTGGGGGGTTCAGCCTGGAGAAGAGAAGGCTGCAGGGAGACCTTATAGCACCTTCTAGTGCCTGGGGGGCTACAAGGAAGCTGGGGGAGACTTTTTACATGGGCCTGTAGTGACAGGACAAGGGGGAATGGTTTTAAATGGAAAGAGGGAGATTGAGATTGGACATCAGCAAGAAATTCTGCACGGAGAGGGTGGTGAGGCACTGGGACAGGTTCCCAGAGAAGCTGTGGATGCCCCATCCCTGGAAGTGTCCAAGGCCAGGCTGGATGAGGCTTGGAACAACCTGGTCTGGTGGAAGGTGTCCCTGCCCATGGCAGGGGGGTTGGAACTAGATGGTCTTTAAGGTCCCTTCCAATCCAAACCAGTCTGTGATTCTATGATTTCAGGGCTCGCAGAGAGCAGCATCCTTGGCCTTGCCGCCCCCGTGGCGGACACGGCTGTGCCAGGCAGCCAGTTCTGACTGACCCCTCGGTTTTGTTCTGAGCCCTACGTAACCTCTGCTCTGGGACAGCTTTTGTCCAGCTCCTTGTTCCGATCGCATTTAGAAGAGCCTGGTCCTGTAATCTTCCTCTAAAGACACTGAGTCTAAATGGAGTAACGTGGTGTATAAACTACTCAAATTGCTCCTACTTCCCTCTGGTATGAAGCTGCCCGAAGCAAGCGTTGAATTTGCAGACAGCCAAGCCTGTTTCCTCTGCCCAGAGGTTTGATTGGAGCTGCCAGCCTGATCCCTGGAGAGCTATTGTAGGTTTTTTTTCCAGGGGCAGGCAGGGAGGAGGAAGTTTCTTGTTCCTGTGCTTATCTTACGCTGTCTGCGGAGCAACTCTGGGAACACTCAGGTCTGGCCTACACCCAGCATCACCGGATCTTCTTTTAAAGGATCCGATTACCCCGCGTTTCTCCCTTGCACCTTCTCTGGGAGTCAAGTGCAAAGCAATTCCTGTCGGAATAAACCCTCTTCCGTAATGCAACTGACTGAGGCAGCCATCCTGCAAGAGGCATTTAGGAGTTAAACCCGAGCAGCTGCTGCTTTATTTGAAGTGGCTTGTAATTTTCTTCCTTTGATGCAAAGTGGGGAATGTAATCAAGATGGCTGAATAGAGAATTTTAAGTATATTTTCGGGAGACAGCAGGGAAGGGAAACAGAGGCCAGCTTCGTGCTGGGTGTGGAAATTAAATATAAAAACCTAGGGCTGAATTGCCACCCAACTAGAGTCTTATCATATTTGAGTGCTGTTTAAAATAGTACTTAACTTGATTCTGGGGAAAAAAATAGCAGCTGCTGGTGCAAGGAGCTGTAGCGACCGTTTAGTAACACGGTGCACAGCGCTCTCGGTAGAGCTGATTGCATCCAGCAGGCAGCAGGAGTAAATCTGGGAATTAACAGGAGTAATTGCCTTGTTTTGTTTGGGTAACTGTTTTGTTTGCCCTGACAGCAGAGTTAATGGTTCTTGGGAGGCCCAAAAATAGGGGAAAGCACTGGATCCCTTCCCATCCCGTTTTTTTCCCCTCACCCAGCTCCTGGCAGCTTTTGTGTAAGGAGTGTGCAAGGGCAACATCCTTCTGTAGACGCTGTTGAGCTCCTGAGGAGGAGGAGGAAGGCTTCCTTGTGTCTCGAGGAATGATTTCCTGGAATGCCTCCTGGCTTAGCATGTGCGTCCTGAGCGTGCTGGGATCTCCCGGTCCAAGCCTTCGCCGTGGTTTAACGATGTCACCTGCCATCCTCTCCTGAAGAGCAAGGAAAGCATCCCGTGGTTTGCATCTTGCGACTCACATCTCAAATATTTGTGCCCTGTAGGGGGAATATAAGGAAAATACCCCCCGGATTAGCGCTCTGACAGGGTCCGGCAGAGTTTGGGAGTCTGGGCTTCGGATGGAATTCTGGTAAGGAGGCTGGCAGTGTTTGGGGAGTCTGGGCAGTTGGATGGGCTTCGTTCGGATGGAATTCTGGTAAGGAGGACAGGAGCTGGCCTGACACAAAGGGCTGCTGGTGCCATCTAGCTACCCGTCCCGGCATAGGCGCTTGGCAGGAGCAGCCTGCAGACGGTGGAACTAATGAGGCTTAATTAAACAAAGCCCTCAGCAGTAAACGGCGTGACACGCTGGCGACAAGGGAACTTTTTAACCTGTCACAAAGCAAGCACGCTGTTTGCTTGAGGAGTGAGGTGCTGGGTCTTGGAGAGCATCCTCGTGTTCCTGCTGGGAAGCGGTTCTTGGGCAGCTCCTGCTCTCTCCGGGCTGGCGCAGAGCCTGGGCCGCAGCGTCAGGCTAATTAAACCTCGGTGCGGTCGAGCTGACCCCGGTGCTGGCAGCCGTGTGGCAGGCGAAGGCCGGGTCGTGGCCGTACGCCGCGGCTCTTGGTGTAACGGGTGGATCCACACCGTGCGGTGGGTCGTTGGGTTTGATTTGGGAAGCGTTTGCTGCACTTTCCCACCGTGGCCGGGGGACCAGGCTTTGCCCAAAAGCAGGTCCCCGTGTCGGGAGCAGTTTCAGAGCTGGCTCTTTGGGAAACTCGCCTTCTGAGGGGGTTTTCTGGCATTTCTTTGATCAGAGGAGCCTTTTTTCTGAGACTGGCTTTAGTTACAACCCGGGATTTCTTGGTTCCCAGGCTAAGCTGAGCCTTAGCGGGCCAGACCCAGTTCCTAACACTGCACCGTTCCTCTCCCATCCATGCACAAGGCACGAGTTGCAGAGCCGTTGGCTTTGTCAGCCTGGAGCGAGAGCTTTAAGGGGTAGGAAGAGGAGTAGTTTTCGGGGGGATATCCCTGCTCATTCCCCCAGAGCTGCCCACGCTCCTGCAGCACCAGGACACTTGCGACAGCTGCGTTTCAGCCCCAGTTTACCGGGCTGCACCTCCGCTTTTGGCACAACAGGCGAGGCAGCAGGGCTGTTGGGTCCTGCCAGCCCTTGGGAGAGCGCAGGAGCGGGAGGGCAGGGCCGTTCCTTTCGGGGGAACGGCTGGTAGGGCAGCGAGGTGAGCACGTTGCTGAGGGGGCCGACGGTGGACAGGCACCTCGGGGTTTGGTTCGCTGTCGGTCAGTCGCTGAGGCGATGGCAGCCCTCGCAGCTGGGCAGCTCGGGAGTAACTGGTTTTGGGTCACACCTGAGCCACACCACTTGGTGCCCGCGCGGTGAATTGAGGTGTCTCTTATTCAGAGCTCAAGCACGCAAAATTTCCATCCCGATTTGCATCCAAGACCCTCGAATGCCACTTGAAACGGTTGTTATTTTACCCCTTGGATCCTCTCGCCTAATTCCCCAAGCAACTCACCCCGTCAGCTGCGGACCCCCAGTGCCACGCTCCCCTCGGCTGGCAGGGGACCTGGGGTGCGGGCAGAGGGGGGTCTCACCCGGGTGAGATCCAGAGGCGGTTGGGAGCGGAGGGAAGAGCAGACGGCAGAGCAGCCTGATCTGCGGGCGGAGAAGGTCTGTGCACGAACAGCCAGAGCTCCGATTCCCTCCTGCATCCGGCAGCAAGCCCCAGCCTGGCCAGCGCCGGGGGATTGACTGGGATTCTGTAGTGTCCATCGGATCGCCAGCGGATGAGGAGCTGCGGAGGGAGGAAGGCTTGCAGCAAAGCCCTCCCAGCTCGCTCGAGTGGCGGAGGTGAGTGCCGGCTCCCTTCGAGCAGCAGGCTGCAAAGACAGACAGGTGGGGCGGGAGATGAGGGAAAAACCCAAACGCCATGCTGCCAGCAGGAGATTCGGAATGGAGTGAGAGCTCCAAGCCCTTTTCCTTGTGCCGGGTCGGCTGGCTGGTGGGGAGAGCTGGGAGGATCGCAGCTGGTGCTTCCGAGATGCCAGCAGAGCCATAAAAAGGGGTTTTTGGATGCTGATGGGGGCTTGAACAGCTGTGAAACCTCCCAAGGGACTGGAATAACCATGGCTGGTTTTCACTCCGCCGCTGAAGGAGCTGGGCAGGATGCGATCAACGACACCAGCAGCAGGAAGAGCTGGGCAGAGGAAGGCAACTCCGCGTTGTCCTTCCGTGTGGTGACCGCCGCCGTACTCCTCCTCCTCATCCTCTCCACGCTCCTGGGCAACACCCTGGTGTGCGTGGCTGTGGTCAGGTTCAGGCACCTGCGCTCCAAGGTCACCAACTTCTTCGTTATCTCCTTGGCAGTGTCCGACCTCTTCGTGGCTGTGCTGGTGATGCCTTGGAAGGCTGTCACCGAGGTGGTGGGTTTCTGGCCCTTTGGGGCTTTCTGTGACGTTTGGGTGGCTTTTGACATCATGTGCTCCACAGCCTCTATCCTCAATTTGTGCATCATCAGCCTGGACCGCTACTGGGCCATTTCCAGCCCCTTCCGCTACGAGAGGAAGATGACGCGGCGCGCGGCTTTCATCATGATCGCGGTGGTGTGGCTGCTGTCCCTCTTGATTTCCTTCATCCCTGTGCAGCTCAAGTGGCACAAGGATGGCGAGCTCCTCAGCCAACAGGAGCCAGGTTTTCACGTCAGCGGGGCGGAGGAGAACTGCGATTCCAGCCTCAACAGGACTTACGCCATCTCCTCTTCTCTCATTAGCTTCTACATCCCTGTTGCCATCATGATTGTGACGTACACCCGCATCTTCCGCATCGCCCAGCGGCAGATCCGTAGGATCTCCTCCTTGGAGAGGGCGGTGGAACGTGCCCAAAACCGCCACAGCGGTGACTGCCCTCAGGAGGTCACCCTGAAGAACTCCCTCAAGAAGGAGACCAAGGTCCTCAAGACCCTCTCCATCATCATGGGCGTCTTTGTCTTCTGCTGGCTGCCCTTCTTCCTGCTCAACTGCGTGGTGCCCTTCTGTAACCTTCACCCGCGCCAGCCGGGGGAGCTACCTTGCGTCAGCGAGACTGTCTTCAACATCTTCGTCTGGTTCGGGTGGGCCAATTCTTCCCTCAATCCCATCATCTATGCCTTCAACGCAGACTTCCGGAGAGCCTTCGCGACCATCTTGGGCTGTGCCTGCCTTTGCCCCAGCGACGCCGTGGAGACCGTGAACTTCAGCAACGAACTGGTCTCCTACCACCGGGACACCACCTGTCAGAAGGAAGTGGTGACCCTCAGCTACCCGCAGCTTCTCCCCCACGCTGCTCCGCCGATGGAAAACAGCGAGGTGTCCCTTGACGGGGCCTCTCGGGTCTCCGAGCGCTCCCGCAGGCCCTGCCCTGCGGATGCCTCGCCCGCAGCGGCACACGGGGCGTGGGGAACGGCTGTCTCGCTGGAGAAGATTACACCTCTCGCCAGCAGCGTGGATTGAGACGGGGTTGGACCAGGGCGGTGGGGTGGTCTCGGAGGGGTGGAAGCAGGGCCGCCGCCGCGGTTGCCTGTTTCTGAGGAGTTTGAGGATAACATGGATACTGCACTCTCTGGCTGGACAGGAGTTTGCATTGACAAGTGTGGAATAGCCGGAGTGACTTCTCCAGGTGGCTCCAGGGGGACAGATACGTGGTTTGGTAACTCAAGGCTCCTGCGCAGGCGGGCAGGGGAGATGTGCATCGCTGCTCTGCAAAAGAGGAAAAGGCGAGGAATCCCGCTTTCCTTAGGATTTCCACTGGGAAAGCAGAGACTTGTGTGGTCTGCAGAGCCTCTCCCCGTCGTCAAAGCGGAACGGCAGCGG